GTTACTCATAGGAACTCACAGCAATGGTGACAGCATGCCAAGTCCTATGCAAGCTGAAACCAGACAAAATCCCAGCATAGACATGGAGAAGTGGGTAAGAAATCCCAACCCAGCCAGCCTAAGGAACTTTGGCAACTGATGGCAGATGGGGGGGAGGGGGAGAGAGAGAGTGAGAGAGAGTGAGAGAGTGAGTTACAGGAATGGAACTCTTGTGGGCCCAGTGGATGGATCTACACTGAAGGACATCTGGGGGTACAAATCAGACTCTATAGGCTATATTTTATATATATGAGATTACACAAAATTTAGAGTCATCTGCATTTCTCCCCAGGAGCCAGTGGGGGGAAATGCAGATGAATCTAAATGCCACCAAACTATATTGTATGAAAATTGCAAAAAATCAATTAAGAAATTTTAAGGGGGCTGGAGAGATGGTTCAGCAGAGGACCTGGGTTCAATTCCCAGCACCCACATGGTGGCTAACAACCGTCTGTAATTCCCGTTCCAGGGGATCTGAAATCTGACTTCAGAGGGCACTGCACAACATTGGTGCACTTACATACAAGCAGGCAATACATTCATAGGCATAAAAATAAAAATGAATAAGTAAAATATTTATTAAAACTTAAAAAGCATGCAGCCAGCCACATGCTACTTTGTGGATCTGTGCTGGGAACTGCCACTGCATGAAATAAACAAGGTGCAGACTCAAAGATGTTTTGACAAAATCTTGTAAAAGGAAACTCTCATAAATGCAAGCACTTACAGAATTAAAGAACTGGGAGCTTACAGTCCTCAGCAAGATAAGAGAGTTAACAGATGTGTGTAGTTCATCTCCACAGGAGTATAATGGACAAATAACACTGCTTGGGCCTGACCAGGAAATAAAGTCTGACTTAGGGGTCCACCATTCATGTACTTTCTGATACCCATAGCAACAAGGGCCTCAACAAGATATTTAACTGATGAACTACCATGTTGATTAACCTCCTAGAAAAGCCATCTTGTAAATGCTTTTAGGGTAAACCTTAAATTTATGTATTTCCTATAGCTAGTGTTACCTACTTGTTTAATCTATACATGAATCAGACAGTCTTTCAGTGACTGATATTGCTACTATATATATTATTTGGTTTCTTGTTGTCTGGAAGATTTCATATTATGTGGCTCTAGCCTCCTTTGTTCAGCTTGCTTGACATTAAAGAGCTTCTATGCTGCATCCCTCTTTGGTTTGAGTTTACACAGGTCTTGTGCATGCTGTTGTAAGTGCTGTGGGTTCATATATGAAACTATCCTGTGATGTCCAACAACACAGTTGCATAGATAATGGAGGTGGGCAGGAAGTCCCAGCCCTATCTGAGGATCTACGGCAACTGATAGATGCTGGGAGAGGGAGTCAGTTTTCAGTTTTCTTTACTGGTGTGCCACCTAGTAGGTTCACCAGACTCACATCCAATAGCATTAAGGAAACACAGATAAGGCTTGATAGGCCTCAAAAAAAAAAAAGTTGACAAATAATAGAGGATATGAAGTCAGTGTGCATGCATGTGTGTGTGTGTGTGTGTGTGTGTGTGTGTGTGTGAGAGAGAGAGAGAGAGAGAGAGAGAGAGAGAGAGA